GCATATAATAAATTTATACTTATATTATTAAAATTAAATTATTAAAAGTTAAACTAAATAATTATGCAAATTTATCTTTAAATGCAAAGATAATACGGTTGTTAAATTTTTTTTTTAACGTGATCTCTCTTCATACTCTTTTTACATTTTACTTTTTAATACATTATCTTAACTATAAATATTTTATTCCAGACATCAACACAGCTGAGGAGGATAAACTACTACATACTTTACAAACGGTCGGTCACTTATCCAATAAAGCTGCTCGACGTGTATACTTAAACATAATAAATCATCTGAGCACTATCAAGAAAGATGGTTTATCGTCTTATGTTAGTAGTTTAGTTGAGTTCCTTCGACTCACAAAGTATCTTCACACTGTCAATGAAAAACCACAGGCTAATGGTGAAGTAAATCAAGAACCACACGACGAAAAGGAAAAGAGCGAGTAAAAACGCACTACTTCTATCTCATGTCTCTTAAAATTTCTATACATAATGGTTATTTAAAAACCATCGAAATTAATATTTTTTGTAATTCTTATGTGGAAATAACAGTTCATATATTTATTTTTAATAATTATGCACATATAATTGTTATTTGTATAATTTTGGTAATGTTATAAATATTGTTAAGAATCAAACTACTGTGGTCACACATACTATTTTCTAACTGCCGAAGAAGTAATAATGAATTCATGCGAAAATATTCCATGTCAATGAAGCGCTAATCTATAAACATTTCTTTACGTTATTCGCTAAATACAAATTGTAATAAAAAAATGAGATAATATTCATAATAATAAGATGTAGAATAAATGAGATTTAGATTTATATATTTTGTATAATCTCTATATGAAAATATGAAAATGTGAAAAAGCAGATAATAAAAGATATAAATGCAATAAATTTTACAGATTGTTATCATAAATATTAAATAAAATAAAATAAATTTTAAATAATAGCCAGTAAATAATATAATTATAATTTGTGATACATATGTACATATATTTTTTATATAACTCACAATCAGGATGCATAAACTTCAATGAAATAATCGGAAATTATAAGATCTCAAATAATTATCGGATCTCAATATATATTTAAATATATTTCTAAAATATAATTTTAAATGTTACACATATATTTTTATATACATATAATATACATGTTGTATATATGTTATACATTTAATATATAAGTAGAAGTGCTCCGTTTGAAAGTTCAAAACGCTATATTGAGATCTTTCAAATCACATAATCTTCTTTTAATTATTGCACAGAAATATTCACATATTACTATTGATACAATAAGGATAATTTTCCAATTTTAAAAACAAATATTGATATGCATTTTGTATACGGAAATATGTAACAAATATAATAAAGATAATTGCAATACAAATTTATATTTTGTACATTTAATTACACGATAATTAAGTACACAATAATTAATACATTTTGATAAACATATGGATGAAATTTAATTTTTTACTATTCATCTTCTTTACTATATTTAAACTGTACTACTTTATAATAAAATATTTTTTTATTATTAAAGCTTAAAGAAGTTTAATCTTAAGAATAATCAATTTGCCATTTATAGAAATTAATTTACATTTCATTATTCTTATCTTTATATTTATTAAAAACATAATGAAAAGAATTAATTTATTTCTGTATATATTTTATCTAGAACAACATGAATGAACAATAAAAGTTATCGAAATAATTGTCTATTTTTTATATTCATTATAATATGATTATTATTTATATTATATATTAGTAATAAATGATTGTAATTTTTTAATCATATATTATCGCGTTCGATAATATAATAAAATTCAGCTAATAGAACTAATATGGAGCTAATGAAACAATCGAAGTGGGTACGAGAATGACAATAAAAATATCTTGTAGCAATATTTAAAAAATTGCGTCAGAATCATTATAAACAGCATCATCTTTACTTCCAATTATCATTCTTCGTAGGGTCAACTTCGTGGACTATTCATTCGCTTCCCACGTGTATTTATAGTAGAAGAGTACAAGTATGCGACCGCCACGTCACGGATGAATGTGCGAGATATCTCACTGCGCAGAAGCATAAATGGAACCATACATGTACTTGTGATATGTAGAACCTAAACGTAAGGATGCATCAAACTATCATATGATGCAACCGAACAAATAATATGATGCAATACTATGATAATGTAAAATATAAAAAGTATTTACTTTAAATAAGAAAGATAAAAATAGTTTTTTGAAAACGAGTTTCTTTATTTAAAGAAACATTAACATATTTAAAACTTAGACATTAATTTATAAATTATTTTTGTTGCTTTATTAAAAATGTCAAATAATTTTCCAGATTATGTTTAAATTAAGCACAGATATAAAAAATATATGATAAAAGTATATTAACATTAGCTGAAGAAATCTTAATTCCTTCTCTAAGATTTAATAATAAAATCAAGTGATTGTATTCTAATAAAATAAAATAATGTTTGTCTCTCATAATTTCCCTATTTTTTGTAAATTTAGAATAAAGGTTTTTTTTTTCAAACATTTGAAAAGTAATTTCTATTTCTACTGTTCTATACAATTAAGTGGCTCTAGTAAATTCCACCGCAGTATAACTCCGGAAGGTTAAAGGAACTAAGAAGATATTTGACGTTACTGTTTCGGTCTCCCCACTTGATGTTCTCCCAACATACATACCGGTTTTCACACAGATATAACGACAGTCTTATCCGGCGTCTTGTGTAAGTCGGTCGTATATCGCTAACTTTCAACAAATTCTTCTCAGCAAGTCATATAAAAATGTAAGTATTTATTATAAAATAAAATAAAATGTATAAAATAAGAAAACAATAAAATTGAGATATTGAAAATTAAATTAAATATTTCAATTTACATTATGTAAAATGATACACTTGCTGACACAATATAAATAAGTATTTATAAAGTAATGTACATTGCAAGAAAATATTATATTACCTTATATTTTAATATTATTTTGCATAACATTTTTTAATATAACTGCTATTGAATAACATTTTATATCAATTTAATTTAATAATTATTAATAATGTTATTATATTAACTAACACGTTTTGTTATACTTTAAATATTCAGTAAACAATTAACGTATAATTATATATGTATAATAATAAATTATATTCACATAGTAATTTACTCTTATAATATTATGTTAATCTATGCTCGAAATGTTGTGGTTTTATTTCGAGTAAACGGTTGTACGTTACAACTTGATCCATAGCTGAGATTAATATTTCACAACAAACATCAATAATCTTCTAGAACAAAAGAGAAGGTTTACTTTATAGATTATATATACGTGCAGAATTAGCACTTTGGTTGTTGCAATGTATTACATAAAATCTAAGTTACAAAAATTAGTTTTTATCTGAGAAATAATTATAATCTGAGAAATAATTAATTGTATAATGTAAAAATAATCTTTTAAATACAATTAAATATTTTATTAATTAACATTTTTATAAACGAAGTACATAAAGAATCTCACAATTTTATTCAATAACAGATAAAATTTTACTAAAGAATTAGGACATATTAATTACATTGAATTAATAAAGTTGAAATATTACAAGAAATATTAATAAAATGCTTCTTATAGAAAGCAATATGTTTAAAGAAAGTCAAGAAAGATGCGAAATACAAGAAAAACATTATTTTTAAATAAATATCTTGTATAGATACGTTTTGTAACTGCGACGCAATAGCAACATGAAATTTTACTTTACTATTTCCTCGTCTGTTCCAGCGGATGAGTCATGTATTACGCGCATAATCTCGTGATCAGTTGAGTACATTAGTTCGTTTAATGAAAATCTAAATATTTGATTTTGCTTTACATTTTACATTCTGTTTTTCGGCACTGTTATGCACATGTGGATAAATGTTGGAGATACCATAATGAACATTTATGGTATCATACATATGCAATATAAGTCTCGCGATAATTTTATTTTTTGTTTTCCTCTTTTGTTTTTTTAATTTGCCGATCGCACGCATGTAAATGCATTAAGAAAAAGATGGAGGAAATTTGATCATTAAGTTATATATAACAACAGTATCAAAGTACATATCTGACACATATTTAGATAACGATATGAATGACGAGTCTGATTCACCGGCTACCGAAGGTACAAAGATCTCTTGAGGTCTGCAAAAAATACTTGCTAGCCACATTACATGCATTTCTGTTTAAAATATTCGAGCGCACATAATTACCTTCGTACAACCACTTAAAATCAAATTAAAAAAAGTTTAACGCATGACTCAATAATATCTTGAATTTAATTGACAACCGCACATACCATCGAGCACTGTTACTATAATTTTACAACATTTCTGTAGTTTTTATTTGACTACGTTGTATATATATATA